GGATTTTCCCACGGAAGGGGTTTGGGGGGAATCCCCAAAAGGCAAAATTTCCTTGGGGTTTCCCCATTATTTTGGGGGGGAATGGCCCAACCCCCTTTTTTGAAGTTGAAGGGGGTAATTCATTTTCTTCCATTCCATTAAAGCCAAAAAGGGGAAAAATGGGCCACACCAGGTTGTTAAATTAATTTGTTAAAAATTTAGGGGAAAAATAGGTTAAGGATTGGCCAGGCTTAAGCAAATTTTGGGAAAAAATTGGGGGCCCCACCCCCGTTTCCACCGGGGCAAACGCCCAATTTTGTAAAATTTTTTTTTAAATTACGCCCTGAATTTTTGGGGCCCCTTTTCCCTTATTTTCTTTTTTTCGTGAAGAACCTGGTTCCTTGGCCCCTTAATAAAAGGAAGGGTTCGTTTTTTTGTAGGGGCCGGGGGGGGGGGGGGGGGGCTATCTGCCGTCATTCATTTACTCCCCAAAATGGTGGTGTGGGGGTGTTTTTGCGTCCTTCTCGATGGTCCGGGTAACATGAACCAGGACCGTCGCGCTTTCCTCATCGGTGACTTGTTTCCGGTGTAAAAAAATAAAACAGCGATGACAACGACCGGCCCACCGGTCCCTCAGGCAGCGGGGCTTCTGTCTTGAGATGCTTGTTGAAGAACTCTTTCTCCATGGTGAATGCCTAGCGATAGTGGGTCACACATGAGGTGCAGTACCGTTGCTTCTCCCATCACGGAGGTTGAGGGATCGAGACGATTTCACGCGGACCTTTTCGATTGCCCTCTGGTAGCGCCAAGACCGCACCTGAGCAGAAGCAGCACGCCCACATCTAGACAACAACCAGACCCTCAGCACCACAACAACCTTCAGCAGCAACAAACAACCGGTACCGGTTCTTGAATGGACGGTTCAAGCCTTACTGGGAGACCCATCCATGGCAGCCACCAAGTACGCCAGATCAGCCGCCGGGTTCACGCTGGCGATACGCTCCACGCGAAGCCCCACCCGCCCTGCACCATTCCAGTCGCCCTCGCCCCCGCCCCCGTTGAAGCAAGCGCTGCCGTTACCGCCAACTTCGCTCGCCGCGCCGTCGCCGCCCACGACGCAACGAATCTCGCGGCCCACCAGCGAATCGACCGTCGCTTTTCGCTCGGCCTCGCCCATCTGCAGGAAATCGTGGGCGTTCATGCCTCCGAAGGCGGCGGTAACGACGGCGCTCCGGCACTCCGCCACGAGGCACCTGGGGTCAGTCAGTCGCGCGAGGGTTGGCTGTGATTAGCGGCGGGAAGGTTAAGATTATATAACGTCCGGCCCTGCTACCTACTGCATGTGTATTCGTTCTCCAAGTTTACAGTTTACGAACGTAAGAGCATTCTGTTGACGGCCACCCAGCTGCCTGCAACTGCTGTGTCTTCAACTGCCGTAAATGGGTAGGTAGCTTGATTGGCGGGTAAGGACGCCCCACCGTATGTTTGCTGATTGGTGCTGCCGCGGAAGAAAAGTGTTCTCGAAGTTTCGAACACACGTGACCGCTTCTCTACACAAGCCTACGCAAGTGAACAGTTCAGCCTGCACGCGCTCACACGCAGCGCGTTTTGCTTCCACAAGCACGACCCACACAAGTACAGACCTGGTACCATCGTCGAGGGCGAGGAGAAGCGGGGCGTATCCCAGCTCCGCTTCGTCCGCGCATGCAACCCTAACGGAACTCTGCCGCAGCAAACGTATGCACGCGCAATAAGACAAACCCAGTGGCAAAAGCGGACGCGTGTCAACGCCGCAAACAGTTAGTACAGCAGCAGCAGCAGTGTCGTGCACGAACGTGAATTGGGAGGAAGACAAGGAGGCAGACACACCGGCTTGCACTACGCCCGCCACCAGCGTACCTCTTTCTCGCACCCTCAAAACGTGTGTTCGAGGAGTGCAACTCCGCCGACCGATTGCGTTAACTCTTGGACCTGTCACACACGTCGCGGCTCGCAAGTAGACACCACAGGCACCGAAAAAACGAACTACCCAAACGTACTCGACAACCACGCTCACGCACACACCACAGCAGCAGCAGCAGCAGCAGCAGCGGTCTTCCTCCGCACCTGACAAAGCGGACATATCACGGACACGCCCTGCTGTGCTCCCGTCCGCCCGCTCCTCACACATCCCGGCTCGCGCATATCCCTCGGCCGTTTCCTTGATATCCGCCTCGCCGGGTCCGCGCTGAGCACACATGCGTTGCACCGCCAAACAAACATACGAAGTGTGTAGCCATACGAGGTACGTGTCCTTCATACGAACCATGAATACAAACCAAGCACGTATACACGACAAGTACGAACACATACGAAGTACGTATACATGCACCACGTAAGCCACGGGTGGAGCGGTGACCACGAGAAGAAGTGGCGGTACATGCAGGCTCTTAAATGACGACACTAGACAAGAAGAGAAGGAGAGACGACACGACACGAAAGTCACTTTATCGTATGCATGCATATGTAGACAGTGATCCACTTCTACGGGTCGGGAAAAAACGCAAAACTCACGTCAGCGTCGACGCTCTACACCGCCGTACTCCCACCGACCGCCCCTTCCAACTCACCTTGCGCCGAGGGCGCTGAAGTGACACGGGAGGCGCGCGCCGCACCGTCGATGGACAGCCCACAGACCGTCTCCGTCAAACGTCCATCGCGCCCACGTCACCGCCGCCTGTCGATGTTGTGTTTCGGGAGTGGGGGTTTGTAGCGAAGCAGTGGGCTGCAGTCCATCTGTACGAAAACATGATAAAAAACGTCTTCGAAGGCGATTAAACAGCACACGCTGGACGCCGGAAAAACGTTGAGCGAGCGTGTAGGGAGGCGGATACGACCATATGCCGGAGCAACAGCAAGGTGTCCGACCACTACCACGACACACGCTTTATTTTCTACGTATGCGTGAGAAGGGGGGGGGGGGAGGGTCAAGCAGGCGGGGCTGGAATACGACGAAGTTTCTCGAACCTCAAGGACAGCTAGTGGGATTAGATGCCAGCATTTCACATCAAACTCTCGACCCCACAATCGGCTATCGCACCAACCCTAGGGTGTTCTCACGCGAGTATCCAGCAAAGGTAGCAACACATATTTTCAGTGTTCCCATTCAGCGACCGCTTGCTTGCTTCAGCAAAAAGACGATTCACAGCAAAAAAAGGCCTTGATTCCGCCCAAAAGCCGTTTTTTTTTGCTCAAGCAGTCATATGGGGCACACAGGTACAGGACGCCTGTTGTCATGGCGTCTTCGTGCTCGCTTCAAAACACACTCAACAGCAACCCTGGGCCGGATGGAGGCAGGTACCTACGTCTTGGTGGCGTCTGTTTGCCACCTACCTTGCAGGCCAACGAAGCACGCGGTCCAGGCGTTCGCCGTCTGTCGTGCAAGAACGAATGCCGCGACAAGAAAGGACAGTGGAGAAATCCCTGTGGTGCCAACGCGCGCGCACGAACGGAAAAAGAAGAGAACGGTTGATATGTTTAGCGTTTGATGTGTTACTGAAGCGAGTGCCCAGCAGCCGTCTGAAATGGTGTTGCGAATCGCTTCTCGAGAACATCGTGGAGTGCCTGTCTTTCTAACGCTACCCGAAGGACGCAGCAACACAACGTCTCCGTTTCCCAGCGTCAAGCGGCCCGACAAAATTGCAATTCGGATATAAGAAGGTCCTGAGCGTTTTGTAGACCGGATCGGTAACAAGTGTGAAGATGCACCTGTGAACAACAACAACAAAAACAACAACAACTTCACGTCAAGCGAGAGATGACTCGTGTTCCGTACCTCTAGACTGGACGTGTTCAGCACCCCGCTGACACTATCTCCCCCCCCTCCCGCTCCCCCCGACCGCGCCCCGGCCGCTGCTCTCCCTTCTGCGTCCGTTGTTGCAGCCGCATCTTCGCGGGACATCTCCTCCGCTTCTCCACAGAGCACGACCACATGGCCGTCCGGTCCTTGTTCGGAGTCATCCAAAGGCGGGAAGGCCGCTGCGAAGGTGCGGAGTCCGCACACGAGAACGTACTGGCCAGGCCTGGAACCACGAAACAGCGAGAGAAAAACCGCGGCGCATGAGTACGTAGGCATGTGCGGATGGTCAACACAAAAGAGCGTCGGCGATTCGAATTCGGTAGTACCAGCCGTATGTATTATGTATGTATGTATTATGTATGTATGTATGTATGTATGTATGTATGTACAGTTACACATATTTGTGTTGGCTGGTCGTTAGCAGTGTGGGCTGTTCGGGTGTTCTTTCCCCTTCTGTTTCCAGGCGGCTGTTCGACTTGAGAGTCTTTCATGTTCTTTCAAGCACCTGTAACATTATTTTCTTTCTTTCTACAATAGCACAGCAGTAGCGGGTAGAACAGCGAAGAACACCTTGCTTGGTCACAGGTCTCCGTATTACAGCAGTTCGAAAACGCACACACGTCTGTACGTCTGTTCTCGTGGTTGCGCACGCTGGAGGAACACAACAAACACGCCCGCCCGCGAGAAGGTCTGAACCGCTATTAGTAAAGCGGGTAGGCCATTCAAGTACTGTAGCAATCGAATAGGCGGGACGCTGTTTTGGCTCGAAGCGCGGCAGATTGATGGTGCGAGGTTAGCTGTCTGCCGGTTGGTCCCATTTGCCCTCTCTTCAACTCAGAACAACACCCGCCGCCTGTTTGTTGGTTTTCTCTTTTCTACTGCCGTCATCGACTCCCACGTTTGTGCCGCTGTGCTGCTGCTGCTGTTTTATTCTGCTGCTCGGGTCTTAGCTGCTCATATTGAATTATTTCACCTCCTCCCTGGCTCTCACCCTTCGTGGAGCACAGGCAAACAAACGCTGTGGTACATACTGTAGCTAACAAGCATCGACCGCAGCAGCACAGCTTGCACAAAGTCGGAACGATGGACGGAACATAGAACGACGTTTTATGACCGTAGAAAAAATAGTGACGACAAAATAGTTCTGTACCCAGGTCGCTGCGGACGTGAGTTCGTTTCGACATATTTTTTTCCGTTCACCACTCGTCTAGTATGTATGTATGTATGCATGTGGCAAGTCGACCCCGGCCGAGACGCATATTGCGAAGCTGTTCAAGACTTCGCCACGCCGGCATTCCTTCTGCGCGCCTACCACGAGCGACGTACGACGTACTTGAGTTTCAAATGACGTATACGGTACATGATGTGTGCGAGCCCGAAAGGGGGAAACGACAGGCCTCGGCAACGTCCAGCGCTCACCGACATCGAAGTGCGTCGGCAGCAGCCTTGCGTCCGCAGCACAGCACGCGCGCCGTGCCCCTGTCGTCCCTTATCAAGAGCTCAACGACGTTCGCAGCAGCAGCAGCAGCTGCCCCCCGCGCCGCCACCAAGCCCATGCCAGCCTCCTCCTCCTCCTGCTGCTGCTGCTGCTGCTGCATGAGCATCACGGGCTTCAATGGCAGCTGCGATAGGGACGATGACGACGACGACATGCCACGAGAAGGGGGCAGGATCGCAGGCAGAGAGGACCCCGGAACGGAGGCCACGGAAACGACCTGGCCGTAGATCGACGCGTTGGACATGTTTGGCGCCAGGTCCGTCACGAACAGTCGCCGCGGAAACTGGGAGCAACGGCAACGTGCCGCAGGCACACAGCGTGGGGGAGGAGCAGGGGAAAGATGTCGCGTAGGCGATAAGTGTGCCCACGGGTGGCCAAGGTGGGGTTAGCAGCGAAGGAAAGGGGGTGGGGGGGAGGGTGGGGGGGAGGGTGGGAGAGCAAGGATGGGGGCACAAGGCGACCCACGGCAAGAACGACGCTTCGGCGAGGGCGTTCGCATGATTTCTGGAGGATGTGCTTGTGGGACCAGCGCGAACGCCCAAATGGACGGCGCATCTGGACCTACCCCGTACACACCGATCGCGCAGGCTGCTGTACCTAGAAGCCTTCCTACCAAGACAAGAACAGTCACTCGCCAGTTTGGCTGGTAGCGAGACCTTCCTTCCTCACCTGCAACAGGTCTCGCACGCCGTTTTCATCGGCGGGCATCTCGTGCGCCGCGCCCACGGTGCCCCCCCTCCCCCTCCCATCCACCCCGGCGCCCCGGGAGGTTGCCTTCCGCGAAACAACAACGCCGCCACCGCTGTTGCCACTACCACCACCACCGCCGCCAGAAGACCTGGATTCTACGCCGGGACCGCCCGTCGAAAATCCGTCGCCGTTGCTGTCGTTGTTGGCGGCTGAAAACAGCTGGGCTCGGCTCTCCCGCGGCAGCACGAAGAGAGCCGTCGCCGAGCCGTACTCGAAGTGCCACCCGAAGGAATCGCTAGGCAACGGGAGCTGAGGTTCGTCGGAGAGAACCCGATTGATCAATCAGCACGTGGAGGCGGCGGCGGCGGCGGCGGTGGTGGTGGTGGGTTGGGAATGTTTCGAGCGGGATTAAAAGTCGAGAGGGAGGTGGGATGGTTGGGTTGGACATTTCCACAGTGAATCTAACGCCGTGTAATGGAATCGTGCAAGGGTATCAATATTCTTCGGGAGCGGCGGAGTCGACGGTCGGCACCATGCAAGAAGAAAAACGAGGGTATGTTGCCGATGTGTTGAGGTCGATACCATCGAAGCAGGAACGCAGCCCCGAGGTTGGTTTAAAGACCTTCCCCACGGAGGAGAGGAAAGCGCACACACAGCAGTTCGCCTGTAGAGCGCTAAGCCCGAGGGTTTAAAACCTACCATCAGCGGCTACAAGAAAAGCTGAGAAACGATCTGCTTTTGGACAGAAAATACGTCTTCCTACCAGAACGCCTCGCGGGACTTACACGCCGAAATACTCGAAACCCAAGACAAGCACCGACGCTCAACACCAAAAATCACGCACACCCACAGAACCGCGGGTCAAAACCCGAACTCAACGCTGCCTCTCTCGTGCGGTTGTAAACTTTTACCTGGGAAGAAACAAGTTGCTGCTGAGAAGACAGCCCTCCCGGCGCCGCCGCTGAGCCTTGGTCGCCCCCGCTGCTCCGCGGCTGCTGTTCCCGCACAAGCCACGGCCAGTACACCCCAAGGCCGTCGCCCTTCCGGAAGAGGGAGGTGAGGCACGTCTGCTCATCCCAGAGGTAAAAGAGGACAGTCGCTCTGCTGCTGCTGCTGCTGCTACCGTCGTCCTCGCCCCCCGCCTCTCCTCGCCGATGCTGTTGTTTTCGCCCCTGCTGCTGCTGCTGCTGCTGCTGCCCAACCGCCCTGGGATTGGCGGCACACTCCAGCACCACCGTCTGCAGCGTCTGGCGTCTCTTCCGCGGTTGGTGGCCCTCGTCGGACGTGCTGCTGTGCTGCCGCGGCCGGCGGATTTCAAGCACCTTTCACGGCGTTGTATTGTCCGGCGCGTAACACGTGGGGGACCGTGCGCAAACAGCAACAGTGATGAAGGGGGGACGTGGGGTACAAAATCACTCGGCAGGCGGTTTGCGAGATAGGCAGAAGTAAACCCTTGTTTTAAGGTAACCTAACAACATACTGTACCGTATCGGTGCCGTATGGTTCGTTGGCTTTCGCCTCATGCCAAGACACCAAAAAGCAAGCGAAGCGCTGTTCCCAGAAAAGAGAGAGGCATTCGAAGTTGGATTCCTCTGTGTTTTCAACACGAGCGGCCGCGGTCGACAATATAGCATTACATGTGGAGAGTACGCTCGCGTCCCAGACATGGTGCTACATAGCGGCACTACCACTTCGCACGGTCAGCGGGGGCGGGGGCGCTACATGAAAGCGGAGCACCATGTAGCGCACCTTGCACACCACGAAGAATTCCTCATAGTTGGACTTCTCTTCGAAGGTGTCCTTCACACGTAGCCCACCTGGTGAACCATGGGTGGGTTGGTGTTGGGTGTGAGATCGGGGTTGAAATCGGGGCAAGCGGTGACGAGCAAAGTGTTGAGGTGAAGACACAAGACACCGGCGGCGCCCCCCTCCCGCCCGCCCCCCCCCGCTCGCCATCTGCCAACGACGATGCGACCAAACTTCTCATTGTCAAAAGAGGTAGAAACAGGTACCGATGCACTTAACACGAGTCAGATAGCTAAACAAACTGCGGGTGGATGTAACGAACATGCAAACCCGAACTCCGCGAGCCAAAAATGGCATGGTCTCCATACCGCCAAAAAAAAAGCCCCGTCTGGGGGAGATCCTAACGTTGTTGCTGTGGAAACACGAGAAGCCAGAAAACACCCACCGAACATGCCCTGCGCGAGCCTGAGGTCGTCCGACCTCCTGTGGTCAAGCACGAAGGCGAGGTACTCGGTCAGCAGAAGAGTCGAGGGCCCGCCGCCATTCGGGGATCTCCGCCCTCCTTCCCCGCCACCGGCACGGCCGCCGCCCCCGGTCACGGCAGCCGCGGCCCCCGTCAGCAATCGGCACCTGTGGCGGAGACGACAACCGCCAATAGCGACAACAACAACAGCAGACGAGGCGTTTGCTACTCTGTAAACAAGCCTTGGATGGATTGGAGAGCAGCACAGGCAGCAAAGGGCAAACAACACAAGGGGCGCGACCGCCCCCTTTCGGTTTGGCGAGATGTGTGGACGGGCGATGAAAACACATGCTTGAGTCAACGTTACGAAGATGTGACACGAAAACGCAGGGTCACAGGCCGGGCAAAGACGTGGGCGCACACTACCAACTGTTGGAGGCAAGCACCTACGTTGCCCTGACGCCAAGAAAAATATCTCTACATAGGGCCCACTATCGAAACATTAGCCCGGTTTCGTGTTGGCGATGTCACCATCTCGCTCTGCTGTAAGCGCCAATCGATCACTCGCAGTAACACATCGAACCATCCCGATTTTCGGGAACGCTCATCCGCTCAACAAGAGCAAAGGGGCGCGCGTTGCGGGGGGGGGGGGGGCCCAACAAAGGGGCTTGGAAGTACCCGGGGAGGGGTACTTTCCCCCCCGGCGCCCGCAGGGCGGGGCCGAACCCCTGCGCGTACCCCAAGCAAGGGTTGAAATTTTGGGGCAGGTACATGTCCCCCTTGGCAGGAGACAGGTTGCTCGAAACCCTGCAGGAGTGGTCCTCCACAAGCGTTACCTGCACGTGGAAGAGTGTGGAGCGAATCACGCACGGGAATATGCATGCGACTTGAGCAAAAGGTGTGTACGTGTGAGAGCAGAAGCTCCCAGCAGCAGCAGCAGCAACAGCAGCAGCAAGAGAGAAACTCAACTCCTCTTTAGGTCTGGAGGTCCACGCGCTTCCTTGGTTGCAGACAATAGGGTATTGTATGCATATTTGGGGAGGAGCAAGTGAATACGGTGGATTTGCCTACATCACGTGGCACGATATATCTAACATACTCCGTAGCCCACACACGATGTGAAGCGACTGCTGTCCAGCTGCGTTTCGGCAAAGGACGTCACTCGCACAAACAGCCTGTAAGGTGTGTGCATAGCCTGCCATTAGGGTCCGGGGGTCCAATGTTTTTCGAGAGCTTACGTGTGGATAACCTTCCTCTCTGCTAAACCATGCGGTCGTACATCGCACGCTTAGCGCCCTGTGATTGTGCACAAAAGCTTGGTTTTATCGCTCTCACCAGTTGGTCAGAGTGGCGAACGACGCACGCCTGGATGACGTCGGACAGCGGGGCGTACTGCGCATCGAGATAGGCCTGAAGCTTTCCGGGCACGAAGGCGCCTCGAACGTCCCTCCGCCTTCGCTCCAGAAAAAGAAGACACATCACACATGCGCACGCATACGAGAGTCCGGCGGCGCGGACACCAATAAATCCACGGCACTTTCATGTCATAATCTAGCGGCCGCTGGAAGCCGCGCGTCGGTCGAGCAAGCGACTGTTGTTCACCATGGGGTGCTTCGCTATGAAAATAGCAACCCGGATCGCTGAAGAGAATCTGGCTCAGCCTGAGCGTCTTGTGTGGGATGACAGCCAACTGCATTAAGCAGTGTACAGTGCAAAACCCTCGGAGCTGAGGCTCCTATAACTCGTTATTGTTTCGAAACCTCAGCCGAATGATCGTCGCAGCCGCGTTTCTCATGTGCTGGCCGGCACAGCAGCTACTGCTGGTACTGTATGTAGCAGCAGGGCTCTCACACACGGTCACGTGAGAAATACCTTTTCGGCGTTGGAAGATGAGGAAGAGGATGCGCAATTTGCGCACAAACACGTGGGCTGCATATGACACTCTTGTACAACTAACATCAAAGAGAGCTCGACAAGCCGAGGCGCCGGGTAGGCATGAATCAAGCATCAAGCACACAGATCCTCCTGGTATATGGAGCATTGTGTACAGACGCGAGGTCTACAACAAGCATACCACTATGGCAAAGGTTCCACGCACGAAAAGGGGAGGGGTTCGCCGTGATTCTCACCACAGCAGCTCAAGTTCCGCCAAGATAACGGCCTCAGTTAGGCCTGAAGGGTACCTTCTCACGGTCTCGATGAGTGTCCTGCCAAGGGAGAGCAATCGCACAGGACAGCAGGAGAAAAGCGCGGATGATTGTGACAGTTTGAAATTTTAATTTTGAGGATTGGCTGTTTGTTGCCCAGCTCCACCGTACAATGACGACGCAACTATGCTGCCGAGGTATCCTTCTTGTGTTCGATCACATGTGCTCTGGTCCGTAAAAAGGTCAGAGCACTGCCAATGCATGTCCCTATGTCTCTATGCAATGGTACGAGAGTAGGCCAAATGTACTGCTGTAACGTGTTACCACCTGCAAGTCCAGCTCCAAGGCACCCGCAGTCCCAGCTCGCCCGCGCCAGAGGAAGCACCGCTGTCGACTACACCCTGCAACTTTGATCTCAACCGATCGCAGTGCTCTTGTACCCAGTCCATCTTCACATCTGCACGCCACTTCACGAGGCACGAGACACAACCAACAAGCCAAGTGCCTGCCCCAGCGAGGTGTGAAAGGCCAAAGGCAAGGAAGGGGGTACGCCGAAGAGAAAACGCGGCGGAATTGCCACACGTTCCGTTGAACTTTAGGACCCCCTAAGACGCGTGTGCGAGGCAGGTCAACCACCAGCCAGCAGCAGGCCACAGAGAGCAGAGTCAGAGAGCAAAACAGAGAGAGACGGGTAACAAAACGGGGGAAGGGGGCGGGTGTGTGTCCCGTGCTTGACCAACCATGGCGACGCCCGGACAAGAGGACGACAAGTCCATGGCGTTTGACTTGCTCGGAGATGAGTCGAGCGACTCCCGAGAACGAGACACCTCGTTTGCCCGTGGCCTCTCGCGGAGCTTCAGGAGGGTGACGCCGCCGGTGAAGGAGCGCCTCCTGCGTGTCATCAATGACGAGCTTTCGAGCCTGGCCGCGGAGGCGGACGGAGTCAGCGAGAAAGTCAAGGTGTGTGTGCTTGGTTGATGATGTCGTGCAATAATTAATCATGGCTTGCCGATGGTGTACAGCTTGGTTTGGATGATGTGTACAGCAGAGCAAACATTCAAGCTGGCTCTGTGTCGGTTCCTGGATGACCTTCGCTGCCGCAGCGTGATAGATGCGTACGTCTCCTTCGGCACTCTGTTTGCCATGGTATGAGTTCATATTGCGCGGTCGTTTCTGTTACATATTTTCGTACCCCCTGGACCGATTTGGAAACTTTGCACACGAGCTTGCGCAAGAGGTAAAATTCTCACTTGTACTTTTCAAGAAATCGCCGAACGCCCACCTGCCCACCACCCTCACAGCCCCCGACTACTCCCACGTTTCTAGTTTGTAGCTACAGCAGGTAGGCGCTGGAGGCAGCTGAGCTACAGCAGTAGCTATTGGATAAGCTACTAGCTCCCTTTTTGTAGTCCTGACTCATGAGTTCTTGGCCTGCTTACCACAGCAGCAGTGTATGTTTCTTTTGCAGACGCGTTGTTTGTTCGTGCCCTTGTTGTATGTACGTAAGAGAGAGATGTTTCGCGGACGGTTGGTACACGTGTACCAGTACGTAATACTGCTGTAGGCTTTACAGCACCACGCGAACAAAGGCGTTCAACGAAGGCGCTGCTCGCGAAAGTGTCAAATGCTTAATGCTGGCCGGCAAGGACGTTCGTTATGCACTCTGGCCGAGCTGTCAAGACATCCATCCCATTGCCGCAAAACGTAAGGGCAGCATCTATAGCCCATTTCCCAGTTAGCATCTTCATCAGGATGCATCTCTATCAACATGATCGTCCTCCTTACCTCTCTCGGTTGTCTCAACAGATTGCAGTATTGCGCACACGCAGTTCCAAATTCAATTTCCCCCCCAAAAAATGCCAGCCGTCTTTGCAAATCTCAGGCGGTTGAGATGTTTTTTAGTCTTAGTCTTAAGATTACCGGTTTGGTTGCCTGGTCTGATCGTCCTCACAACGAAACCTCCTATCTGTAGATAAAGACGATTTTGTTTTGTTTTGGTGAGAAAAATGGTAAATACTGAAATACTGTTTCTCTTCTCTATGCACGCAAGTTCTTTCCGGCCTCATGTCCTCGCTCGTGCGCCTAACTGCTGTATCGTGCCGTGCAGAAAATCATCAACCGACAACGGCAGCGGCTCGACTCCCTCATCGAAGAAACCTCCAAGGCACCTCGCAGGCTTCAGTCCAAGGTGGGCAAGCAAGCGCGCTTCACAACCTCCCCTTGTGCGGCGTATCTGTTATCTCCATAACCTTATGCGTGATCGTGCAGCATTCGATGTGAAAGCGTTATGTCAGAAATTTGCCAACGCCGCGATTAGCGGCGGGCTACGAGCGTTTCTTTGAGAGCCCCAAAACGGGCGCGAAGGAAGAGGGAAGAGTGTGCGCCACGATAGCGTGAGGTGAGACGGTGGCCCTCCGCACGAATCCCTCGTACCTCGATTGCCAAGGCATTGGCTGGGTGTTTGTTCCAGGGTGTTGTTGTCGGTGCGACGTGCCAATTATTTAGCGGCAGAGGATACCCCAACATGTATGCGTCCTACCGCCTACAGTATTCGTTCGTGGATCGGCCCTTTGTTATGCAATTCCCTTAGTCGCCATTCGCCCGTCGTCGGCGTCGTCTCGCTGTGTGTCTTTCAGATCACCGCCCCCTTGGACAAGCACCGTCGGCAGTTTCACGGAAAGATTCGAAAGGTGAGGGGAGTCGCGCGGGAGGAAGGAAAGTCAGGAAAACGACAAGCCGTAGCGTACGAGGCCACCCATCTACAATTGCAGCCCATTGTAAACTGCTCCGGCGCATGCATGGACCACACGCCGTATTTTTTATTTGACTTGTAGAAACCAACCCAGCGATTCAGCAGCTTTGGGGCTCCCTTCAAATTGTTGTCTCCAGCGCTTCAAACTCGAGCTGCTGTATCGGCATGGGGTAACAAGCAAGTCGGTAAACGGAGACGGGACTCAATAGATGCGTTCAGGTTCAACAGCGGTTGTCCCACCCCGCGTTGGCAGTATCCGCCCGGTGTCGGTGTTCGTGTGGGTAGGTCCTGCTTGCGTGGGTGTAGCTCGGGGGCCCCGTGATGGAGAGAGGTTACCCCTGTATGTAGTCTTGGTCCTAACCGTCTGTCTATGCCGGTTGGTTTTGGTGGGTGGGTTGGTTGCCGTTTTGCAGGCGGTGACTGGCGACCCTTTGAAGAGTGTGAGGCTGCACCTGGAGGAGAAGAGGAGCAAGCCGTTCGTGATGCGCATGCTGGACAAGGCGGCCTTCACCGTTGGGGTGAGTTGAGAAACCAAGAATTAAACAACGGCCGGTCGGTGAGTCGCATGGCTGATAGGGCGAAGCCGGGGGGGGGCGGAAGAGCGGGGAAGGGGTGAAAAGGTATGCGAAGGCACAGCAGTGTGAGGGCAGGGGGTGGAAGGAGCAGAGGGAGGAGAAGGGGCAGGGGCATGGCGAAGCGGAACCGAGGCCAGGGAACGGAATGGGCGTACTGTTGTGCTTCTCGCCGTATTTTTTCATCGGGTGGGGATAGCGGTGGGTTTTGTTTTACGCAGTTTTGCGTCGATTCATGGTATGTCTGTTTTTTTATTCATCTTGAGGTGAAATGACGAGAGGCGCAGGCTCAGCAGTACCGCAGGCTCGACAGACAGCGTGCAACTGTTTGCTTGATGTGGCGAGGGGCCAGGAGCTGAGCTAGCAGACTTAGGGTCAGGTCTTACCCAGTTTGGTTTATGGCATCCGTGTCATCTGTGCTTGCTTGACGACATGAAGCTAGGTTTGCAGCTGCCCGCGCTCGCAACTTCTACTCGTTTCCCTAATGGTCTGTCGAAGGCGTGCCTACGTAGTCGGCTTAGTGTGTTTTTTAAAAGTTTTGTGGCCCACCGTTCTGTGTGGATCACTTCTGGACACAGGTGCTCACGATGATCGTGAGCGAGTACGTGCTGCTACTGATGCCGGAACGGTTCTGGCTGTGGTACTCGGTGATGGTCCCGGTGCTGCTGCTCATGCGGTATCCGGACTACCGGCAGCGAAAGTGGCTCTTCTTCTACTACGACTTCTGCTACTACGTTCAGGCGAGTTGTGTAGCCGTCCCCTGGCGTTTGTTGTTTTTGGATTTGAGTGCAAGGGTTTGAACTGTAGCTCTAGGTAAGATAAGTAGGCTTGACGGGATTTTGCAACTTCCTCGGATAGAATGCAGCATGGGATGAGTGTTGGTAGCCCCTTTCTGGAGGAGGTGCCGCTCCCCTTGCTGTGTTGCTTGAAAACAATAAACTAGTGTGTCTTGAGCAGGATCTTCAAGGATTGCTACGCGTGTAAACCTCGCAACGTGTGTGTGGGTGGATTGGGGAAAAGTCTTTCATTTTTATCCGCTGGGGTGGTGGTGGTGCTGGGGGTAGGGACACGCAACGGATATCTTAGAGCGGGTTACCTTCCTCTCCTCCTCGAGCTTTGCGTTCCTCTGGTTTTGTTCTTGTCTCGTGTGTGTGTCATGTCATGCCATGTCCTTCTTGGTACTGTTGTCGGCTGCTGTAGATAGAGGGGTTCATGGCCAACGCGAACAATAACAACAAGAAACAGATGGCATGGGTATCAGACGCAAGAAGCGAAAGAGAGACGCGTGCCCAATGCTAACCAAACGTGACTGCGTCGCATGTGAATCGGCGTGCGTTTGAGTCAGATTGCCGCGGAAATACGAAGGTGTAGTCGTACCACTCTCTGTTGCCGCATACACGTCGTGAGTGACAAACTTATGCGACGGCGTCAGCCTTCCCGGGGGGGAGGCCACCAAGTACAGCATTATTGCGGCAGCCATTGTGCGTAACAGTCGCCGTTGGACCCAAAGGCGACGAGGTTCTTTCGTTACAGCTATCAAAGACCGCTAGAGAGAAAAACATTGGTGGCACGCAGTTCGCTGATTGGTAAAAAAAAATTGCGGCGGAATTTAAAAAAACAGGCACGACCGAAGATCCCTGGACAACGGGCACCATCATCCAGGGTCGAAAGGCCGGGATCTTGGGACAATTGATGATGGATGAAATGTGGCCAACTTCTCTCCCCGTCACCATTTTGCCCTTATCGTCGACAGGATACGAGAGGGTTTTATCCCTTGGGTAGCTGTCGAATTGGCGTTTTCCGATGACCCACTTGCTGCTGCCGGTGCCGCGGACGTCGCGAGAGCGGAAAAACTCGGATTTCTCCTTGCTGATCTTGACTTGGCCCTCCTTCTTGCCCATCGTGATCTTGTACGCTCGGCGGAAGGAGCCAATCGGCACCATCATATCGTATCCTGTCGACGATAAGGGCAAAATGGTGACGGGGAGAGAAGTTGGCCACATTTCATCCATCATCAATTGTCCCAGGATCCCGGCCTTTCGACCCTGGATGATGGTGCCCGTTGTCCAGGGATCTTCGGTCGTGCCTGTTTTTTTAAATTCCGCCGCAATTTTTTTCTCTAAAAGCAGCTGCAGAGAAACAAAAACAGCAAGACTTGTCCATGGCTCACTCCGATTTTTGCGTATTGTTGTTTTGCTGTCGTTCCAGTTCTGGTGTATGGTAGCCATCTTCGTGATGCCGCACAGCTGCCGCCTTCTCAAGTCCATCTTCATATTCGTGATGGGGTCTCTCCTGTGGGCGGTGCCGCTCTGGAGGAACAGCCTGGTTTTCCATGACGTGGACAAGGTGCGGCACGTTTTTTTTCTCCTTGGTGTTGATCTTTACACGCCACCAAGCCGCCCTCCTGCCCTCCCTTCCTCCCTCCCTCCTGTCTTCTTGCCACCACTGCGACATGTTTTTTTAAGTTGGCCCTTTCGCAATGTCCTGTTCGTTACCGTCGCTCGCAGGTTTTGCCTGCCGCCGTACGATATTTCCACCTTGCAGCACGTACATGTAGCGCAAGATGTCAAAAAGGAACACGTTGTTTTAGCAAGTCTGAATATCTTTTTGAATCCCTCTCGTTTCACGAAACGAAGCCGCGGTCTCCTCTTTAACTGGTCCGCGAATCTGATGGACGTTGTGGAATTGTAGCAGTCACTCACCCATCAAGCGGCTCTTTGCGAAACGACAAGCACGACCACTGTTCTCGGACATGGATTTGGTCGAAAAATGCCTTTCCCCCGGGCGTGCATACACGTAGCTGCGAGTGACCCCGTGTTCCTGACGAAGTCGGACTGCTTGATTGAGTCTGCCTCTCCACCTGTCCTTTGTTTACGGAATGCTCTGAGTCTACATCTCCATCTCTCTTTATTTGGCGGGCTGGATTTCGATGCGCCCTTGCATGCTGTCTTCCCTCTCCAATTCCTCCCTCGGTGTGACGATGCAGATGACGTCGTGCTTCATCCACCTGTTCCCGAGCTGGCTCGCTCTGACCCTGCGGTGGTATCCCCTTGACCCCATGCGAGGGGGCACCGCCGGCGCTGAGCCGGAGTGCCAGGATGGTTTCGACATGGGAGACGTGGGGACGGCCATGGGCATGTACCTGGCGTGGCAAGTGCTATACTTTTTCAAGACCGAGATCGCGGATAAGGTGTGTACCCTGCGTTGATGAGACAAGACTCCTCGTATATATATATTTTTTTGTTGCTAGATTTTTTCGGACGCACCCCTCCTTATGTGTGTCGGTAGAACGTCGTGAGTAGTGCCGCCGCATTGCCTCACGCCACTACATGCACAGCGATGCTGCTATGTGCCTGCTTGTAGCCCCTCCAAACGGCGCTACATGTTTGTCGCGAAAAACAGTTCTCGCAGGCTTGTTAAGTTGTCCGATCTCGGGATTAATGCCCTCCCCCCGCCGCGTCATCCTGCCATATCCGTCCATCGAAAGCTGTTTAGCGTGGTCACCCATACCCTCCTCCATCCCTTTCCCTCTCTGGCTCTTCCTCTCTCATTGCTCACCACCCCTCTCTGGTATCCTCCCTCAACTTACGTGTGCTACTTACTGCCCATATCGCGCTATGTACTAATTATACAGCCCAAGCTTGACGCGGACCCCGAGATACAGACGAGCTTGCGGTGGCTCACCACGAGCCCCTCCAACCCGATGCACAAGATCGTCCTCGCCCTGATGCGGAAGACCGGCATGTTTAAGGAGGACGAAACCTTCGACCCGACGACCTTCAAGACGAAGATGATCTTCATGGGCTCGCAGCTGGTCTTCACGGTGCTGGTCTCCCTGCCGACGCCGTTCCTCTACAACTCTAAGTGGGCGTCCATTTCGCTGGCGTTCTTCGTTTTCCTCTGCGCGTTGTGGAACAGGTGTGTGCTGTGTGCGTGTCTTTTTTTTCTTTGCTTTTGACGAGCTCTCGGTGTTGGCAACCACAAGTCGTGACCGAGTACACGTGTTGCCGGCGCATCCGTGATGTTTGCGGTGGGTTTGGGTTGTGTACTCATGGATGGACGCGAAAGTGAGGCAGGGGAGGAAATTTTTGTACAAGTCAAAGGAGGTCTGAGGTTAGCAACGTATGTGGAGCCTTTCCCGGCGTTCTTACAGCACTTGATGGTGATTTCCACCGCCGCCAACGTCCAGGAATCCAAAAAGAACTGCCACTTTTGCCGAAACTTTCGCTAGCCTCGCCTTGCTCCTCTCGCTGATACACACCACTCGTCTCCCCGATACACACCACTCGTCTCCCTGACTGAACCAACAAAATCCGCCGCCCTCTCCCCCGTGTGTCCCGCGCCATCATGGCACCGCTTGCGACCCACAGCTCCAACTACTACATCGAGGTCTTCTCTAGGAGGTACTGGCAGTCCATGGAGGCGGAGTCGGCGGCGAAGGCCGAGGCCCTGGTCGTGAAGGCCACCAGGCAGAGGGAGCGCGAGCGCCTGCGCAGCGGCGAGGACGGTATCGCGGCGGGAGGGCAGATGCTGTCAGCCTCCAGCGGAGGCAGCGGGGAGGACCTGGCCGACGACGACTACGAAGACGGCGAAGACTGGGAAGAGGAAGCCGATGCTGCGCCAGCCGCGGATGAGGAGGAGGAGGAGGAGGCGGAGGCGGTGGGGGATATGGACGGGTTGTTCGGGGGTGAGGTGGGGGCGGCTGCCGACGAGAACCCTGGGCAAGAGAAGTCGAAGGACGTGTAGCGAGAAGGAGGAGGAGGGTAAAACTATCAATCACCACGGGGCCTTGGGGAAGCTTCAGGTGACACAAATATTTTGCGTGTGTAACCCCGATTAGAACCTGGTTTTTGTTTGTCTTGTGTGAAACCTTCCAAGCCCTTGTCTGGGTTGCGGTTGTTCTGCGGGGTTTTTGCGGAGCTGAAGATTCGATGAAATCGAGGTCGTTTTCGGCTGCATGAACCGGGTGCTGTTCCGTGTCTTGTAGATGCCGTGGGACTACTGAGAAGGTCTTACTACCGTATGCAACCCGCGTGTTGAGCGCCACGTGGGAGTCCACCACGGTATTTTAGATTATTTTGCAAGCTGTGGCGGCAAGTCTGGTTTCACGTTGAATGCGGGTTTCATAGTGTACAGGGGAATACGAGTTTTTGTGTACCAGTAGAAAATGGCCACATGTTAGGCCGCGTGACACGGTCGTTGGAGTTGGCCTGCCCCTCTGTAAATATAGCGCAGGACCCTCAAATGCCGTCAGTCGGTGTTTTCTACGTACACACGCGCGGGAGATGCCTGCGCTTGTGTCAAGGAGCTTCGCCCTTGACCTCCTCAACAGCGGTGCTGGTTTTGTGTTGACAGGGTATTTTGGTCGAAAATGCTTTTGGTCGACCAATACTGAAGCATCTAAGGTTTTTACTTGTTTCCAGCTCTTTCGGCTGCGGGACGCATCCTACGTAGCGGCAATCGCGCCACAAATAGAAATGAAGGGCCTGGTTATTTTTATCTCAGTATGTCGGGTACGTAAAGTCATGTGCACTGCTGTACTCAATGAAGCACGGACTATCCTGTAGTATCATCGACTGCCTATAACGATCTTTGACCCGTCTGGGCACAGCATGAGGTTGATCAACGAGGGCACGTGGATTTCCGAAGTTGTATTGAGCGGCGAAGGTGGTGCGCCGAGTCGACCTGTGTGCAACTCTTTCGATTTCATCGACCAATTCCAGCTGGTCCAACATCATGAGCAGCGGCCGTGAGTGGATCCAGTCTCGTTGGCGGGGTTCTTGTAACCTTTTCGTTCGCGATGCGGCAATCACAGTAACCTTAACAGATACATCTTCGGCCAAGTCTATACCCCAAGACAAATCATTCTCGACGACGTTGAGACGACGCACCCAAAGAAAACGTTGAGCGGTCATTTGCAAACGCACCACGTGGCAACGAGTCTATGTAACGGGCATTGCCCGAGAGGGGGACGGCGACGGGGATTTTTTTTCGCCCAGCCACCTTTGGAGAAGGGAGCTCTTTGCCTCGTACCCGCGGAAGGCTCTATCTAACGAGCGGCTCTCGCCCCCCCCGGGGTCCACGTCATCAGGTATCCCGGACGCCCCCTCCACCGCAGCCTTGTCCTGTGGCCGACAGCCTGCATCCCCCCTGCCTCCATTGCCACCGCAAGTTCTGTTGTGGACTTGTACTTCTGTACAGTTCCTCCCTGTAGCACCGGGTCCATGTCTTCTGTCGACTCGAGCGTGACTCTGTGTGGTTCGAGCTTGCTGTTTCTCTTCGGTGAGGGTGCGGCTGCGCGACGGATGTTGTGTTGGAAACCGCCCTTCGTCGTCATCCCCATACAAGCCTTGTCCAGTTTGTCCACGCTGCGGTGCCTCTGAGACCACGACGCGTCGCCTGTGGGTCACAGCAGAATCCGGAAGAGGCGCTGCTGGTCCCCCGCCAAACACAGCCTGAAGCATCTGAGGGTAGTCGGTCAAGCGCAATGAGGGGGTCGGTGCGTCCGACAACCCCGCTACTGCCGTCCCATTGGCGGTGGAGTCTTCGCCGAGCAAAACTGCCAGTACTCGGGCCATGTGCGAGCCTTCGGGAAAGCTAGCGGCCGGGGCGCTGACGCCTTGCACTGCTGTCCGGTCTTGAACTCGGCGCTCGTCGGATGGGCTTTCGCCGCCATTTCTTCCCGTCCCAATACCTTGCGCTCTTTCCGACGAGGCAGCCTCACTTTTCCCGTCGGTTTCATGCAACAAGCTGCCGTGGCACGTTGAGGTCTCGCCGCCGCCACGCCTGGCCTTTGCCTTGTTGCTCTCGTAGATCGACTGCAAGTCGGCGCGGGCTCTCGCCAGGTCTTTCCCGAGTCGGATGGAAATCTCTTGCTGAGCCTTCATAGACCGATGGAAGTATGCCCGTGACGAAGAGGAAGATGAGGACGATTCCGCCATTGCCGCCCGCGTCGACCACGCTGCCGCAGCTGCCGCTGTCTCCGAGTCTAGCTCTGAAGCTTCTGTCCTTTGCGTGCCTGGAAAGGCCGGGTTCGAAGGTGGGGCGGGGTGTCCGCCAGTGGTGGTTTCGAAGTATCGTGCGTACTTCTCGGGAATCGACAGGCCTTTAGCGCCGTCGCCCGCCTGCCTGCTCCCACCGTACTCAACTGGCTCCCCTGCGACAGGTGTCCTTGAGTCCGCTTCTTGCTCTTTGTCGTCAACGTTTTGTCGATGGGGGGCTTCTGGGAGCTTGTGTTCCTTCGAAGATGGCGAGCCGCACGACAACGGGGTTTCGGTGTTTAACCCCGGCTGCGGTGGGTGGCCCAGATCTATCAAGAGGCCCTCCAGGTGCTTCGCACGGTTGCGCCAGAGTAGGAAGTCATCAACGTAAAGGCGGAGCTGATCTTTGGCCTCAAGAGCATTATCCTGCATGGTCGTTGCGCCCGCCGCGGACGAAACGGGGGGAGGGGAGAGATTCTTCACAAGACGAAATACTCAAGGGCAAGGACGCGACTGGTTGATACGAGCAACGGTGGTACAAGCCGATACTTCTCATGCCTTGGTAAAGGTTAACCGCCCCACCAATCTAAGGTGTGATGCTGCCTCTCGCTGCACGCGCGGCAAGCCTGCGTGGCACACTACTCCACTCCATTGAGGCGGACCTTCTTGGAGCAGCAGAGCGAAGGGAGGGCATCGGGCGACGGGGGTATTACCTGAGCCGCCTGCCTGGCTCTGTCGGTCATCTCCAGCTCGGTCCGCAAAGCCTGGATGAGGCGATCCTGGACCTTTACCACCCCGTTCATCGCGATGTCCGCCTTTTCTTGCCTTGTTTCTCGGGCCAAACGCTCCGACGCGACCTCCCCCTCGCGGTCCTTCTCCTGCCAATGCCGTTCCGGAAAGTGAGGACAACAATAGACACAACCGGACAGAGGGTGACAAAATTGTAGGGGTTGGACACGAAGGTGGGCTTGAATTCCTGGAGTGATGGATATCAAATTATGTAGCGACTTTGACGTAGCAAGGGTCATGGAACAGGTCAGGTTTGCACGAAACGATACCTCCAGACTTGAAAGTACGTTTTACGGCCTGGATTGTTGCACCTACTACATGTGTTGCGGGCGCGCTATAGGGACACCAAACGCTGGGTGTGGTGTTGGTGTACACTAGCGTACCTTGACGAGCAGTCTCGCCACATCCTCCTCTGCTGTTCTTGCTGTCCGTTCGGCTTCCTGCTTAGATGCTACAAGACGGCCGCGCTCCTCCTCCCATTCTTGCATTCGTCTCCACCATTCGTCCTGCGGCAAACCCATTGAAGTTTTTCTTAGTTGAGAAATAACCAACTGTGGATGACCAGTATACAAGAGGCATGGTCCATGAGCAGGCATACAAGAGTGTAGGAAGAGACGTCCTTGGAACAGCTCGATAGCCTTTGGAAGGAGGGATACCACTGGCGGGTGTGCGACCCTCGGGGCATCATCGGCCGATATGCGACTCTGCTTTGGCGCCTGTCGTCATGGACATGCGGACATGCAGGCCGTCAAGGAGACCCCGCCGCTCGATCCACCCTCTCGTTGGCCTATCTCTCCTACACTAAATACTTGTGAAGGAAACCTGCCTGCCCTCAGTAGCGGGCGAAATGTACCACGACCTTGGGAACCCCTCGACCGTCGTCTACGGAAGGACCCTAAGCCCTCATTGGTGATAACGACGATATTCAAATTCATGACAAGGTTGATGCACATCTTCTTGATAAACCAGGTGGGATAATTCCGCTAGAAATTTGATTTCTTGTCGGCGGTTTCAGTGGCGGAGAAGACGTCTGTGAAAGGTGTTCGGCAACATTCTCATTCTGACCTCTAGTCGCACGCGAGTAGACCGCTCTGTGTTCAGCTCCGAAGTGGTGGTACGTAACGAAGACCGCAGACGTGCGACTTCTAGGGCGAGTCTCTTGGCCTGGTCCCTGGTCTTCTGGTGTTCTGAGGCCCATGTTTCGTCACCCCGTTCCAAAGAGTAGTTTCCGCTCCGTGCTGTTAGTATGTCTTGCTCGTTCGACGTTACGTTGGTTCCTGCGGCTTTCACATTGTCTGTTGTTGCTGCTGGTGCCGACGAAGTCTTCATGCCAGACGTGGAGTGTATTCGATCCTCAGGCTGTTGACATGTAGCGACTTCGGGACGCTTGCTTGTCGCCAACGGTGCTGCTTCACCCGCATGAAGAAGCTGTGGAGCAGGGTCGTCGTCACCAGCACCCGACGCGTCTGCTCTGACATCTCCGGGAGTTCTTGGGCACGATGTATCTCCACCGCCCCCGTAGTTGGAACCACTGCCACGTGCTCCATGTGCTCCATCGACATCGATCGTCTCGCCCAGCTCCACCCCCTTGTCCTCTTCCCACATCGGCGGTGCCACGAGTCCCTCTGGAGACGAAAGAGGGCTCGGCTCCTGCCTGACCATATCACTCGCATCTCTGAGAGCATCGTTGGCTCGAGGACTGCTGTGGGATGTTACGCCTTCTCGCGGACTCGGGGTCTTCTCCTCCACATGCTTCTGAGTATCCTCTTCGCGCTGGCGCTGCCCCTCGAGGGCGCCTCCGGAATTGGACTCCGAACGCGTCTTCGATTCTCTTCTCTGCCTGCTGTTGTTCTGTACCTTATCCATGGCAGGAGCGGTGTCTTTCGTTCCAGATGAAATTTCAACACATTCTCGGGTCATGCTGCCTCTTTCTTGGTCGATGGGTGCGTCTTGTGGAATCGTGTTCCGGTGTTTTCGCCCGTTGACGTCAGCTTGCGGCCCCTCATCGTCTGACGTCTCCCTCGACAGCTTGCTCATTTCGTTTGTAATGTGCACTATTCCCGCCATCGATTGCACATCCCAGTTGTTCCATGGGCTGTCTTCAACAGCAGCGGTAGCGAACGCGACGGCAGCAGGGACAGGCTCGGCCGAAGCGAAGAGAATTGCCGCGCACCTTTCCTGTTGAGAATGAGTTCAGGAGAATGTAACTTGAGCGATGATAAATATTTTTGCTCCTGAAGGATGAGGGTTGTGCTGTTTTATGCCGCTTTCTCTGGCACACAACGGAAAACGGGTTCGATCTTCCCGCGACTCCCTCGCGGAGGGTCCCGTGAGCGAGGTATTCGAATCACCATCTCACGGCCGCACTCCCAATATTCTCTGAACAGGATAGGTGGATATCTGGAGGTGAATATCACAACCCACGATACGACAACACCAATCTTCTAAATTGACGATTGGTAAAGTCTACAGCAGTATGTACATCTACAGTAGACAGACTCGCCTTGGCTTGCACACGAACAACGTCTCCCAGAGGACGAAACGCGTCGAGCAACTCCTCGTCCGTGGGCCTCTCCGCTTTCCACGTTATTCTCAAGGTTCTCTGCTTCACATCTTCTTTGCGTACGTCGTTGACCCTTTCCACCATGCTCACACTAGATCGCGAGGTTTCTCTCCGTAAACTATTACACAAGATCTTCGGTGCCTGTGCCGTGGATGACGCCCTCTTGAGTTCTGGGCTGGGAGCGCGGACGAGGGACGAGGCCGCAAAAAATTGGTTCGGCAACCGGTTCCAAAAACGAACCTCTCAAATCCCTCCGCACCTTTTGCTTGTTCGAACCCCGGGGGCAGCATCTCATCCTCCCCCTAGTCCGGAGTCAGGCCGCACAAAGAGATGAGGGCAAGCCTGCTGGGTGCCCTTGCGCTGAGCGCAGCTGGAGCAACAGCAGTGACGGGGTTCGCAACGCCAGCATATGCCCATACGTGTAGTAAAGTATCTCGATGGCCTCCGGCAACACCGCCGTGGGATGCTACCAGACGCAGCGAAGGCACGAACGTCATCTTCAAGGCACCACGACGACGACGCAGGAACACGGCACTCGCATCCGCTCTAGGGGAAACGCCCGTCCACAACGATGCGCCACGACCAACTCTGTGCAGTAGCCGAAGGAAAAATGTGCTGCTGCTGTGTGCCGCGCGGGATTCTTCTGCCGAGGATGTTTGGCTACCCCCAACGAACGTCATGACTGGTGAGGAGGAAGTTGGGGTTCAACAGCGAGGCAGCAGCAGCAGCAGCAGCAGCAGCAGCAGCAGCAGCAGCGGTCACCCTTCGACCCCGGTGCCGCCAGACAGAGTAGAGGGTGCAGGAATCGAAGCATCGTCATTGCTCCCTCTTGCACTGCTCAACACGGTGACGCTGCTCTGGGGCACGCAGCACGCCGTGATCAAGCTCATTCTGCAGGAGGACCTAAGCCCTGGGGTGACAAACTTTGCCCGGTTCGGTATCGCAGCGCTGATCTTCTCGCCATGGACGCCAGGGGTGCTCCGAGATACACCGTCCATCCCTGATCTTTTAACTGGTCAAGTAGGTGTAGGGGACAAAGAAGGGGGAGAGTTGGGTGCTGCTGATGGTGGTGGTGGTGGTGGTGGTGCTGCTGCTGCTGCGGAAACGTGGCGTGCCGGAGCGGAGCTCGGCGTGTGGATGTTCTTGGGTTTTGCTTTCCAGTCGATAGGTCTGGGCCTTACAACTGCAAGGTGAGAGGAAGTAGCAGAGGGTAGAATACCAAGAGGGTGGTGGATACATAAGGTGTTGGAGCGTTTAAATAAAACCAAAACTTCTTCAGCGATGTGTGTGCCGTCAGCTTTTCGGATAACTTTGGTATCGCTCTCATGGATTCATTCGAGGAAACTCATCCTCAACCTATACGCTATTCTCGACGGTAGCGGCAAAAGCAAACGGAAAACCAACGCAACATGGAAAGTCTAGCAAACATTTTCCACGGGTCAACACCTTTGTAGCTTTGTCATGCTTGAACTATCAGCTACCCCACTTCTTCCTTCTCGCTTGCGCTCTTAGGTACTTGTAGCGTGGTTGCTGTTGCAACCACAATCCACGCTTGTAGCGTTGCTTGGAGTGGTCTGGCGAGAGGACGGGCGTGCAGACGATATAAAAGCATGCACGGATCTACTTCTTTGCTGTAGCTCGACATAAATAATCGCATGTGCGTGTGTGTGCGATCTCCCTCTCCTCGCTCTTAGCTCCCCTCTGGGTGCTGCTGCGTGCTCGTCATTGATACTCAGTGTGGATTGACGTTGCGAAACTTCGTGCACACAGAGACCGGAGTGGTCTCCGCTGGTTCTATCCTGCTGTGGGCGTGTGGTATGCGCCAGGTGCAGCGCGCAGGTTCCCGGCTGATGTGTGTTGGTCTCTCTGAACTGGTTAGTTCGAATTCGGTGCGCAGAAGAAAGCGGCGTAAATACCAAAATTACTCGAAAATAGACCAGACGCCAAGTAGGCGCCAAGTTAAATGGAGACAGCTGATTGGCGGACGCCCATTTAAATCTGTCCTGATGCCTTTTTTCGCTGTCCAACGACAAGACGATCGTCATCGAAACGCCTTCTCACTCCCCCCCCCCCTCTCCCCATCTTGTCCCTCCTCCCCCCCAATCCCGCACAACAAAATATCAGCCGGAGCGCGTTCCTGCTCTACCTGAACGTCAAGCTCGTGCCGTTCTTCGCCTTCGTGCTGGAGGGCCGGAGAATCTCCACACCCACCTGGATCAGCGCCTTCCTCGCCTTTGTGGGGACCGTGCTTTTGTCCTCCGACGGCACGCCTCCGAACCTGGGAGACTTCTGGAGCGTGCTCGCCGCCGCGACCTCGGCCATGTTCATCCTGCGCTTGGAGAAGTACTCGGGGAGCTGCGACCCCTCCCAGCTCAACAGCGCGAATCTGTGGATCACGGCCGGGTTGTGCGGGGCGTGGGCAGGTGTGTTACGGTTCAGCGGTCGATGGGCCGAGCAACGCGTTACCTTGATCGTCTGCAGCTGCTTGGTGTGACTTCGGTCGTGCCCGTATTTGCTGTCTGTGTGGCATAACGTTATGCCGAACGAAGGTTTGATCAATACGCGTGTATGTAACGCAGATTAAGAAAATGTACCCTATTCCCCCCCCCTCCTCCCCTTGCATGAAAAAAACGAAAGCATGGGAGGTGACCGTGCGAGGCGTAGACGTCAGCATGGCACTCGAAGGCATTCAAGCGCAGGCCCCGCTCATAGGCTACCTCGCAGTCGTCACCACGGCCCTCACCAACTGGATGCAGGCGGTGGGGCAGCGCAGCGTGCCGGCCGAGCGCGCCGCTATCATCTACGCCATGGACCCCGTCTACGCGGCGGGGTTCGCGTACCTGCTGCTGGGGGAGACTCTCGGGCCAGCAGGGCTAGTAGGTGCGGGGATAATTACGGGGGCCGCGCTTTGGAGCCAGGGGAAGCAGATGGAGGAAGTGGACGGCGATGAAGATAGAGTCGGAGACAAGGACGTTTGATAATAAGCTGAATAGATGAGAGGGGAAGGAGGTATAGAAGCTCTTCGTCTGCCGAACATGGAAATTTTGGATTTTTTTTTAGCGTGGCACACCGGGTAGAGGTTGTTTTATTGATCGAGAATTAAATGCTTTGTGCTGGTTTCAGCCTTGGTGGGAAAGTTGACACGCTTGTTTGACAACGATGTACACAGCGGGTTTTATGTAGAGAATAAGGTTTACCCAGTGATAAGACTTTAGCCACGCGCACATCCCTTCGATCTTACGGTGGACGGGGTATTATGTGAGTACGCTGCGGTACATGACACTAACATGGTACTTCTTGTTTGTTTTGACACTTTTCATGCTCCTGTTTGTTGTGGCGTAGGCGATCACATGCTCCTGAGTACTATGTAGACAGGGCATACGCGCTACGCTGCTCTTCAAGTACAAGTCGTATCGCTCGATGCTTTCTTGTCTATGTAGACGAGGCTTTGGCTGCCGCAGGCGTCCGTACATGTCGATTGACTCAACAAACGGTGTGCATGCAAAATGGAGTTTTAACTCAAACGAACCCGTCAATGTGAATATGATGTGAAGACGTACGATGTGACGACCTATGGTCTACCTAATAGTGCAGCACGGCACTTATGAACCCGTACGCGACGCATATGCCTACTTAACAGGCAAGAACTGGTTGGTGGCTACGCGAACTATAGCGGAGACTACCGTTTCACGTCGCAAACAAGCACACAGACGATGCAACGAATAGCGCGGCCGTCAGTGGCGAAAACAATGAGGTACCCCCGATACGCGCCCGTGCGCAAACACAAAACAATGCACTCAAACAGCGCTGACTCGAACGATGCACGCTCACAGGATGGGAATGTCACAAGAAAGAACGACGAAGCAAAAAGACACAAAAACACAAGAAAGGTGACTACCAAAAAGCTCTAACACAACAACGATTCATGCTTACAGGAAGGGAATTGTCACCAAAAGAACGACGCAAGACATCAATCACAACAAATACGTATCAACAAACTCAAGACCTTACACCACGTTCACCCCCACCTAGAACTATTGACCTGCTAAATGCAGATGGTGCCATCAATCTCAAGATTCGGCAGCCCATACATTGTGGCTTACGCGGTCAACATCTTTATGTGGGATCCGCCACAGTCGTGATGCCAGACGACCACCTCTAAACACGGATGGCTGGTAGCTACCGGCAGAGGAAGAACCCAAGTCTCCTCGGAAAAACAAGAGTCTTAAAGAAGTGACAGCACTTTCTGCCAGTACGTAAGGGGAGGGCTTCACACAAACGTAACGTCCTTCGTATTATGTCCACTAATACATCTGCATTGGCCTGGCAGTCAAAGAGGGAAACACTTTCGGAGGACGAGGGAAAAACACCCAACACGGCATGCCACCCTCTAATTGACGGGGAGGCTGCCGTTGAGTGCCAAGAAAACACAGAGACCCCGACTCGGCACGTGTACAATGTCTAAACCGGGAGCTCTAGCATGGCGTCTGTCAGAGGGAAAGCCTCAGCAGGGACTCGGTAATGAAAAGGAGGAGGGGAAGGAAACACCTCTGATGCCATATTGCCGTTGTCAACGTTCCTGTTGCTGTCGGCATTGTTGTTTTTGTTGTTGTTGCTGCTGCTGTTTTGGTCGTGGATACAGTTCAGTGACCCAGACCCGGGAGTAGTCCACCCCGGGGCCTTCGGCGCGCAAATTGACTGTTCGTCCTCTTCCGCCGAGGTGCTCCTCACGGCATCGGATCTGTCAGAGAACTCGAGCTTCGATTTGAACTCGGCCTTCATCATCATTGGGAATATCTGGAGCTCTTTGACTCCGCCCATCGAGCTGTCGGCCTCACTGCTTGTTGGACTTCCAAAGCTGCTCGCGTCATCGTCGAAAAGCCCCCCATGAGAGCGAGCTGCAAATATCCAACGGAACGATGGTGGGGATGGCAAGAACAGGAGAGGGGTGATTGCAGACCAGGGGGGGAGGTGTATTCATAGCCGTGCATGCCGTAGCCGGTTGACCATTGACCTCGCATCACTACAAAGCTGGGACGGAGTACGCCGGGTTCTCACCGGACCAGGCTCTCACATCACCAAGCGTGAAGCTCCGTGAGGTATTCGGCTAGTCGCATGGTGTTCGGCATCTTGTGCTTACTTCCTTGCATCGGATGACAGCTGCGAATGACTTGACTTATTTTCTGGTGCTTCCACTTGCAGAGACAGCAATAAGCTCTGTGTAACTGCCTCGAAGGTGCTTGACCATTTTACCACAACGTGGTGCGATCATCTCCTTTGCGCGGAGTGAGGGTTCTCGACCCCGCACAACAAAATCTACTCGACACCAATATCGTTACCGCAAACAAAAAACAAGGCAAAAAACAAATGCGTTAATCTGGTTGCCGAGCTCACGCAGTGATCGGCTTGTTTTACAACGTCGTTGCCAAGCGACGAAAACCCAACCCCGATGGCAAACACCGGGAGGCACATACCGGGGGGGGGGTGAGGGGGGTGGGGGTGGTGAGTTTCGCACAAACTGTGGGGACACCTCGATGGGGGAAATAATAACATTTGCTTGTGTTCCCTGGTTTGAACCTTGAGGCACTCCAGTTCTAATCCTGCGGAGTTTTTGGAATGCTTCATTTTCCCGCAACGTGGAGTTCGTTCGTTGCAATTCTAATGGGGTACGATAGTTCGTCTTAAATAATGCTGACGGTTTCCACACCCACCAAACATTAGTCACTGTTCAACCCTAAGGGACATTTCACTTGAGAGCAGCGAAAGTGTTTGTCAGGTGTTTGCGCAGAACTCACCTGCTGCTCGAGCTACGGCTGAAGGCCATGTCTTAGCGGCATGGCGATGCTTGGCAAGCCGAACTCCATAGCATCCGAGAAGCCACAACAGCAAGAACCCAAATGCGATCGCCACCCACGTTGCCGCTGAGACCATATTGAAGCGGCACCACAGAGAGAGCGAAAAAATCAGTTCTCAACATCGTTACTGCGTGTGTGTGGTCGCCCTCTGGTGCAAAGAGAATGCATGAAACGACGATCATCTGTTTTCAGGTAGTCTGCGCATGGTGTTCGCACAGACGCAATCCAGATCTTGTTGTTTCAGTGTTGAATATTTAAAATTAAAACAGACAAGGGAAGCGTGCAGCAGATAGTCCTGGTTACGAATGACAGAGCCCGCTAGCAACGAGGGTTTCCTTTATGATCTCGCAACCTCGCATGCATCGCCATCGACGCGCCGCTCCACCCTCGCCGCCTATCTTTAACTGCTGTAGAGGGTCGGCTTCCTGTTACACTTCAACGCGCCGCACACTCCAATACACTACGCTACATTAGCTTTACCTTCGACCCCCTTATCAGACTCCTCCTGAATGACTTCCACCTTGCTGAAGAACAACAGCGCGGAGAACACCGCCTGCGAGTCGAAGGGCTCCAGCGAAGCCGTGATCACGCCCGCCCGGCCTTCCCCCCCCCCCCCCTCGTTCTCTGTCGCCCCTGCTGCTGCAGTGGCGACCCAAGACGACGTGTTTCGGAGTGGGGTCCACTCTTCGTAGTCACTGCTGTCGTTGTCATCGTCGCCCAACAACAGAACATGACTCGAGAGACGAATCCTGGAGAGCTCTCCGAGTCCGAAGATCGGCCCATCCGAGTCCCACGCCCAGCCGGCCCCTCCTTCCGTTTGGTCGAGGGACGCACTGCTACCTTGATCTTCTTGGAGTAGGCGGTAGCCTCGACCTTGTCGAGCGGGGAGAGCAGGAGAGGGATGGCTTTCGTCGCCTGGATCGCTAAGCCTTCTGCTGGGACCAGAAGTTTCGGTAGCAACGCCGTCCGTACCAATTTTCTGGCAACTACTGCTGCCACTAGTGGTGCTAGAAGAAGACGCGGCGCTGCTTGTCGGGCCAGTATTGCTGCTGTCTGGTGACGATGCAGAGACAGAGTTTCCGCACAAAGGAACCAGAGCGGTGGAACCATTCACGACTAGAGAAACGCTCAACGATGTCCCGACTTCGAAGTTCCGCTTGATCGTCGTGCCTGGACACTGCCTGCTTGCATATAAGGAGGATGGAATTGGTTCAAGGGGCGGTCAAGTTGGTTGCCAGGTTGGGCATCGATAGGTTCCCGCAGACTTAGTGCGTGCCTGCAGCTGGAGGCGAGGTAAACCTCAAGAACCACTGAAATTTAAACTTACAAGCACTATGGACCCTTACTATTTCCCACTCACTGTTCTATTAGTCAGCATCGTTCTTGCACCGCCATTCTACCCCGCTCAGTCTGCAATTTGACCATCGCTCTCACTCCCCACTCGCTCACCAGTATTGCACCCTTGGAAGGTCGAAGTCCCTGCTGTTGGATTCCGGGGCCGAGCCGTTCCCGTGTTCCCAAACCGACCAAAACACGTAGTCCAGACCCGGCGTGAGACTGCTCACGTTCAGGAACGAGCCCACCTCGGCCCTGGTGAGGTTGCGCTCGTACACGCCGGTTCCCCAAAACTCCTCAAGCGCGCCGCTGCTGCTAGTGCTGGTGCCATTCTCGCCGCTGCCCCTCGCAACCCCAATCGTCGCCGTGTTGGGAGCTTGGCCGGGGTCTTGGTCGGCCTCTCCCAGGTAGTACTTCACCGAAACGACGTCGGCACACTCCACCAGCCTGGGGTCGCACACGAAGCGGAAGGTGGCTACCGTTTCCCCGTCACAGCGAGGGATGAGAAGGGTGTGTGGAGGCGGCGGGGCGGGGGGCAGCGGGAGGGCTCCCTCGTTCTGGAGGAAAATGTCCTGTGGCTCGGCCATGCACCGGCGGCCCCCATCCCGTCCGAACGGAGTGCAAAACGACCAATCTCTGATCCGCACATCCAGTCTCACGGTCTCGTTCCCGACCTAGGACAAGTGTATTGCAAGCACGGTCACAGCGCCGAGGGCCCGTAGGCACAGCTTGGGGGAAGTGTGTCGCAGGAAGTACGGGCGACGCCTGGGCGGAATGATTTCGATCTTCAGCTGTCTTGCGTGTAAGGATGAAATGTTGGCGCATCTACTACTCTGATGATCTACGTCTCGGCCTATAGTTCGGTGCTATTAGGGAACAATTTCACCAACACCGAGGGCAGATAGACGGCGAACCTTGTCTGACGAGAATGAGGTCGGAGGGACGGATACGGCAGAGGGTTCCTGCCGCAAAACTATTTTTTCGCTCATGTTCGTAAGCACGTCGAAGTTCAAGATGGATGGAAATCTGAACATGTGGTTAACTTTTGTGCATGTTCTCACGGTTCAAGGGTTGGATGCCAAGGATATCGTGGTGCTCTGCTTGTTGACATATGTAGAGAAATGCCTGGCGGCAAAAGGAAAAGCAGGGCCTAAGTGTATACCGCAGGCGGCGGAGAAAAAAGACAAATGACAACGCAGGAATTGTTATTTTTGCTCGTGATGATGATAAAAATAATTGCTTCTATGGTTTTCCTATTGATTATCTCGCTCAATCGCAGCAGCAGGACCTCCCCCACTTTCTCTATGTTTCTTCTCGCTCACCTCAACGAGTGTTGACGGTTCGAAGGTTGAGATGTTTCCGTCGCCCAGATAGTTGGTAGCAACCAAGCTTACCGTCGTCGCCGTGCCCGTTGTTGTGGCTACCGAGGACACCTGCGCATCATTTCGAAATGTATCCTCAGTCTACGTAACCCTCTAACCGTTTATGCGTGCAGTGTTTCGCGCGACGCCGCATTAACTCAATGACCCTCCATTCTCTCACGGAGAGAGTTGATGACAGATTGTGGTCTATATATTTCTTACCAAAATGAGACGAGACTGCACAGGCCCCCAGTTACACAGACTCAAGATCTTGCTACCGACGCGTATCGGAACAATTGTTGTCCTCACAGCCGTCAGTTTAGTCTACAAGTATATACCTCTTCTGCATCAAGACCATCTTGGTACACGCCGCTTCGTCTTGTTGAGGAGACGGAGATGTTGTCACTGTCGAAGAAGAGCGGAGATCCCTCGACCCCAACCGGCTTGCCGTCGGAATCCTTTTGGTCAGACCAGACAAGAAACGGGGAGTTCAACAGAAATATGCACCGAATGATGCGGCTGTCACTAGCCGAAGTGCCAGGCTCGAGGCATTGAAGCCTTATCGTCTAAACATCGTGCACATGGCCGATGACCATTCCTCGAAAACACTCCTTGACGTCGAGTGATGTCTATGGACAGATATAATGGATTGTCCATGACATATGTCCCTCGCACACGGGCTGATGGCAAGCTTTAGTGATCACACACAAAGATCTTTGATTTGATCCAGACAGAGACGGGGTCCTGATGGTATGGGCAATCCATATCCATCCATGCACAACCTAGAGAGAGATCGGAACGGTTTTTTAATGTGAAGACAACAACAACAACAACAACCCTACCCTCACCATCTCTGTGATTGTCGACACGACCACTGCCATGGCTTCATGGTCCCCGGCATCGTTTGGCTCTCCGTCAACGACACGCACTGAAAGGAGCGCGCTGTGCGCAAACGACTCGACCACCGCAGGCTGTATTTGGGAGGCGACTCCAGAGGTTCCGCCGAGCACGGAAAGCAGTGCTGCGGGAAGTGCATGCAACAGAGATCGCATTTGGTGTGTCTCCCGGCGGCAGTGGGTTTGCCGGGTTTGACGAAATGCGCCCCACTTCAATGCTGGTCCTCTAGACTGTAGACCATCTACTGTGTACCGCGCTGACGTCTACCACTATCACACCCCGATGGAGCGAAACGTGTACGTGTTGTGGACAGTGGCATGCCCTTGGCAGTGGCATGCGGTGTGGTCATGGCCCTAAAACGTATAACGGACGTATCTTGTGACTGCGCGCTGTTGGCATAATCTATGTCCAGCAGTAAAGATTCAATATCTTGCGCACAATTTCATTCGCTCCAAACCTACATATGCAGGGCAACTGTTGTCCGATCCAGCTCAGAGTACTGTGTGTCTGCGTGGAAGATACATACACATCATCTGCGTGTGCAATATAGCTGCGTGTGCAATATAGCCGGCAGCATTGTATCGCTCAGCCCATAGTCTATGTAGCCAACCAGGTGCTCAGTACACGGAGTACCACGCCACAAGATATAATCAAAGTGCCAACGGAACGGCCCTGGAGCCAGGTGCCGGTGCATGTATGATGTGTGTACCGTAGGTTGCATAAGATATCACACCCCAGGCCCGATTTTTCAAGAAAGCTCGATTACTTGGCAGGAAAAGCAGTGACGGTGCCAAAATGGCGGCGTTGGAACCTTCTCGTCGAGAGCTTTCCGACAACCGACAACCGACAACGCATCCTTTGATTTCTTCGTTGTGGAGTGTACTTGTATGAAGTTTTGGAAAATCGTTCAAGGGGGTGTGGTATCTTATGTCATGTGTCCATTTCCACCGCACTTTTGCCAACGAGTTTTTACTGTACTGCTCTTCTCTAGCGCGACCTTCAACCATGTTGGCCACCCGTCACACAACAGCAGTAATTGTGTGCGCGCTCTGTGAGCGTGTCACCTTTTCGCGCTGGTTGGGTTGCTGTGGAAGTTGGCTTCCCAAAATGTGCGATGTCAAAAAAAGTAAGTCCCAAACAAAAGTTTAGAGCAAGCCCTTTTCTTTCCACAAACCCAATTAATTAATTCGAAGAAGTTTGTTTTCACATGTTCTTCGAAATTCGAAAGTGTACATGTTTTGGCAGGGTGTTTCCTCGGGTGTTTCTGGTCGTTGTCCCCCACTCGTATACCGGGTGTTTGGATCTTTCTCTGCGTTGACTCGCGAAATTTTCGAACGTTTTTTTGGGCGAAACGTGCTTTATTTGGTGGTTCTCCATATTACGTAGTAGGCGTCTGGCAGCGTGTCGACGTTGAGAGGCAAAGGGGTGCTTCCCCCCTTTGATACTTGCTGCGTTTGGCGGTCACGGGAAATATACTGAATACTTTCGGCACGGGAAAATATACTGAGCACTTTCTACGCTGGTTTTGACTTCCTGGCAAACCATTGGATCACACCGGACCGTCCACTGCGTACATGTAAATGAAAAAGTAAGTGTTCACTTTGTGCGAACCTGATGCATTTTCGTTTTATTGTGGAGCGATACCATTGTGACAAAGAACGGTGATATTCCTCTTTCTTCCGTCTAAAAGGACGGATACTTTTTTGTTTGGGAATCGAGTCCTCTTTACGTTCTCCACCCCACAGAATTTACCCTCTCAACTGGAATGGAAACCATTTGGGGCCAGCCCAGTGATTTCAATAGAGGTGGTACAATTACCCTTTAGGATCGAGTCCGAGAGGTGCTGTCAGGATTGATACGCTGTGTCCTCCTGGGAAAATGTCCAAGTCAGGAGAAAAAGTCACAATCGGAGTATCGAACCATTGTCCTTCAACACTATGCATATACATTATGTGAAGGTGTACCAATTTTGGTGAAAGTCAAGACGGGTAGGTTGGAAACCGGTTCCTCCCTGACATTGTACAGAGCGACCACCGACTCCCCAACAGCGTAGTACACGGGGAAAGTTGGGACGAAAAGGAAGACACCCCAAGTCGACGAAATGATTTAACATTGGTCAAACACAAGAACACGGTAGTGGGCACGTCATTGTGGACGCAAGACCCGCCCAAATTGTGTTGGGCTAGTTACAAGCTCTCCAAGCGTATCACCGCAACAACAGTCGCCACTCAAAGCACGGGTTTGTTCTTGCCCTTTGAAATTATGTGTCGGTTGAAAACCTCCCAATGACGCTCGCGCTTCACACGCCACTCACTGTTTTCCTGTTCTAGTTTCGATAGTAATGTAGTCCAAAGGAAACCTATGTGTCTGTGTTCATGCTTCCCGCGCTCTTTGTCCGTCCTACCTGATGTAAACCCCTGGGCATGTATTGGCTACTACTGTTGTGTTTCTAATACTGCTGTCGTGTTTTCTACGGTTGATGGGGTATTCCCAGTAGTCGTTCAACCTCGATGTTCTGGTGTTGAAAATATATGGTTCTGGTGTTGAAAAGAGAAGCCCACACATTGTGATGCTGTGACCACACACGAGTCTTAGGCATCGGGAAATTTTGGCAACAAGAAAAACACCGGTCACAACAACCTTTAGAAACAATCTTTGTTGCTGACTTTTGCCTGGGAAAACTATTTGACACCCATGTTTGTCCCCGAGCAGCGGTCGACCTATCTACCCAAAAGGTCGCCCGAAAAATGCACGAAGGCAATTCTTCTTTGTGCCAATACAGTATGTATCATGTCACCACAGGAAGACAACCCTTTCACCCATAGCCCCAACTTTCTGGTGTTCGCGAGCTCACAGTAAACTCAACACGTCTCTGTCCTACCGAAAATATATAAGCCGCTCCCCCCGTAGGAGGTGCCGTACCACCGTGCTATCCCACGTAACGTAATGGAGAAAGCGCACACGCATCCCTACCACGCCGACTAAAAAACGTCGAAACGCAACTATATGCTGGGTGTGGTGGTGTTCTTCACGTAGCTTGAACTACACCCTTTCACTGGTCAAACGTCTCTGCCGAAGCAAACACCTCCTTCGACTTCAGACACGTGGTGTCCACAACGTCAAGGCAGGAGCGCAGGCACTGGTTGAAAATGGTTGGCTTGGGGAACTGGTTTCGATAGCTCGCGCAGTGGAAGTCGCACCGCTCCGTCGATTCTCTGACGCAATCGCGGTGGCGACCTGAGCCGCGAGTCGTGAGAGAAGGAAAACATTACTGTTTTGTGCTGTAATACATGTAATCTGCCGACGAGAGGCGTCTGTGCTAAAATGTGATTCTGATTCAGAGCTGAATAACCCCTTTCTTTGGCTAAATAACTCCTTATTTGAATGAGTTCTGCAGAGTTCAGTTGGGCCCATCACTCAATGGTTTCTTTACAAGTAAATATCGACAATGAACCCCTGTGTGGCGGCGCGACCCACCTCCAACACATGCCGTATCCCATGCCGTTGTGACTCCCGCCCGGCAACCAGCCAAACACGATCGATGGGCGAGGGGTCTGCGATGTTTGTTGACAATGTGGTCGGAAGATGCATTCACCAAGGCGTGAGCGATCGTTCCTCGTGTGCAACAGTAACGGTGAACGCAACTCGTGAATATTTCTTGCTGGCCCCCATTCGCTCCGGTGTCTCTCAAGAACCTACATATCAGGAAGCATGGAGAAAAGTGCCAATGCCCCCCATATACGTACGCCTAAGCTTGAATCGTCTACTTGGTCATCTCATACTACTGAGTGAGGCGTTTTCCTGTCGATAAGTTGCTGTATGTCGCCAAATCTGAGCGGTTTCATGTGTCTTCTTTCGCAGCCGAAAGCGTTTGACTACTACTTGCCCTCTAGTGACCGTTGATAAGACGAAATACACCGAAAGTGAAGTCTTTCAGTACTTGACCGACGGGTGAGGAACACGTCAAATTTGAAGTTTCTATTTTTACTTATTTTTGAGGCGCCGCGATGCTGCCCACGGAGAATGACATCTAGACCGAAATCCTACACAGCAATGAGTGGTTCCCGGTTTGCAACCAAAGCATCATAGTGTAACGCGGCTCGAAGAAGTGCTTGGGAGCATCAATATTGTACCAGAGACACTGCATTTACCTTGGTGCTGTGGTACGAGCTTTCGCGCACACCTTTGCACACGTTTTGCTCTCCAGCTCATGTTTTTTCCCGCTTCCGACGCACGCCAGTGTCTTAAGCCGCAAGCCGTTCGTATTCCCACTATCATCGGCTGGCGCCGCTTCTTCTAAAGAACTTGTTATCAACTCCCCGGTACGATCTAGAGAACTTGTTGCCCCCTCCTCCCTGGTACGATATGGCAGTCGACAAAAGATGCAGCATCAAGCAGGTTTAGGACACGATCTGCAAGTTTCTTGTGTTGATACGCGAGCAACAGCAGTCGATTGTAACGTTGTAACCAGGACAATTGAGATTCACGAGTCGTTACCTTACTAGTCTAGTTCCTTAGTTTAACGTATTTCGTGTTAACCTGTTCCTGAACAATCGAAGTCTGACCCCACACCGCCCTCGAGAAACAAATACTGTTGTTGGTCGGCCTCAAGAACCCTCGTATTTGTATGGCTAAAAGGCTTCAAAGCATGATCGACCCGACCCCTTTGAGTCCCGTTTAGGTGGGAGGTTCTATGCCTATGCCTGGAAGTTCTAATAAGCCGCTATCATCCCAAGGTGGACGACCAAGACGAGCCGGCAATTTGACAACAAGTAAGTATCGTTCGGCCAATCCCTGCAGCTGTGTCACTAGCATCGTACGACGCCAATATCCACTGCTGTGTAGTAGTAGGCGAATGCTCAGCCAAACATGAGAGGGAAATCGTTATGATGCGCGCATGTAGAACAACTATTTTTTTTCATGCGCTTTGGTAGGGATTGATGTGATATCATGTACTGCAGTTGGCGAATGCAGTCATTCCTCGTTGTGGGTGTCTCAGCAGTACAATGCGGAGACCTACAAGTACAGCATACCGGGCATCATACCGTAGTCCTTGGGAACGAACGTAACTTGTTGTGTACCCAGTGGACTGGACCGGATGACATTTCACTCATTGCTCCACATGTAGTTCAACCATGCTACATAGTCTACAGCATCAACAGGCCTAGACTATATTGCATAGGTGTCACTTCTAACCCTGATGTGCCCAGCATGTGCCGTACTGACCGACGCATGCATCTATCTGTGCACAAGACGACAACACTCACTCCACGACCGGCTCTGTTCTTCGCCCTCTCAGTCCAGCCGCCAGCAGCAACAGGCTCACCACCACAACAACAGCTGTCAGCCCCACGGCCTTTCTCTGCCTAGATCGCGTGTTGTGTCGACATTTTTCCCAGTATTGATCAGACTCGGACTTCCAGAACGATGTTCTTCGTGCGCCGTGCTGATGCCGTCCGTACTTTGGCGCTGGTTCTGCCGAAGGACTGATGACCGGCAGCCTCTGTCTTGGCGGCATACTCGAACGCCAAAAAGGGTGTTTAGATGAAGAAGACACAGCGTGTCATTGAAGTCGCCAAAATGTTCGGACGGCGGGACAAACGCCTATCCCCGATCAGATTGCGCGCGGCAGAACGACGAGTAAAGATCTGCGATCTGCGACTGCGACGGTTTCACATTTGCGATAGTTTGGTTCAGTTTTTGCGGGGGGGCACCCAATTCACGGAGCCCCTTGTGCGGCGGGTTTGGGTCAGCGAGTCGCTGTACAGAGAGGCCACGCACGCTGCTGCTGCTGTTCTCTCTGGTGTAGCTATGGTACACAGCAGTGGACCGCCCTCTGGTATGGCTAGCTACCGCACCGACCTTGGCTCTTTATTCCCTGTGGTAGGTTCGAAGCAGCATGCGTTCATTGTGCCTGCCTCTGCGATTTCCAGCAAGCGACGGAGGGTGCGGCAGCGAACGCCTTCATGTCCAGTTCAACAACAACCGCCTGTGGCTGCCGGCCGCATGCTGTCCAGAGATGGAGATCGGCACCAACAACGTCTGAGCACCACCACCAACTACGACAACGGCGCTACTGAAGCGAAACGACGGGTCAATGGCAGGCTCGTGGTTGCGTCCCGAGGTGGGAGTGGGAGAAGCAGCAGCAACAACGGCGGTGGTGGCCGTAGCGGAGACACTGCTGCCGACATCTTTACATCTCGCAACCGGATGATGGCCGCAGCAAGACGACGGAGATGGACAGAGGTGTGTTGTGCGATCAGGGTGTTACACCGACCGTTTGTGCGTAGGGTCCAGGCATAGGTTCTATTTACAACAGGTGGCAGACGCTGGCGCGGCGGAGCGGGCGTACAGCAATGTCTCAGTCCAGCAAAAATGTTGCCGTAATAGCCGTCGCCGCTCTTCGCGGTTGCTCGCATCCCTGACATCCTAACCCTCGATCAAACGATACTGTCGACCATGGGTGGCCACACCACATCAAACACAGGTTTTGGAGATCCTGGGCCATTGGGAGGAGAACGCGGGGAGGCTAGATGCGAAGACGTATAACGTCGCCTTGTCTGCGCTCGGCAAATGCGGGAGGTGCAGTCACAGCCATCAGCTCGGCATTTTTCCACTGCTGTAACCTTGTCCACGTTGTATCGTGAGTGACTGTTAAAAGTATAGCGGGCCTTTTTGCGCAAAAGCTGACGCCCGCGGCGTCTGCCTGTGCAACCCCTCTCTTGGGTGTATTTCACATGCGTACAATTGAGAGAGAGAGAGAGAGAGAGAGAGAGAGAGAGAGAGAGAGAGAGAGAGAGAGAGAGAGAGAGAGAGAGAGAGAGAGAGAGAGAGAGAGAGACGGCGAGAGGAGACAGCGAGCAAACGAGCGACCCGCTTGTCTGTCGGTGCGACCTCGTGCGCCACGACCACAGAAGCTTGGGCTGCCTGCGGGCGGAGGGACGAACGCTGTTTTCGTGTGGCCTGCGCTGTGCTCAGGACGTGCGGGTAGTCGAGAGGGAGGTCGGCAGACTAAAAGACAAAGATATTGCAAAAACAATGTTTCGATCGGTGGTTCGTTTTGCCGCAGGTGATAGTCTTGCAGTAAGCCAGCATCAGTCGGTCTTGTGACCCTCAAAACTCGATGATCGTGCACATATTCCCGCATGCGGCCATGCAGGTGGAAAGAGGCGCTTGCGACTCTCGATCGCATGCGATCGAAGGGTGTCCCACCGGACGTCTACTCCTTCAACAGCGCCATCTCGGCCTGTGGGCGAGCGGCCAAGTGGAAGCAAGCATTGGCTCTCCTTTCAGAGATGGAGAGGGAAGGCTCGGACGTACCGCCGGACTTGTTCAGCTACAACGGCGCCATCAATGCCGTGGCAAAGGATGGCCGGTGAGCGGAGCGAACAAGGGGGCGGGGGGGGGCGTACTCTTATCTCATGTTTTGCATGCCTGAGCGGTTAGACCATTGACCACGCGTCCTCGAGAGGACGGAGCATTGTTCCCGAAGGACCGATCACCGATGGCCAATCGTTCCTTCCTACTTTGCCAAAGGTGGCTCAATTTTTTTGCCCTAGTCTATCTATCCTATCAATATCACTTGCCGCCTTTTCAACCCACCTGCTATGCCCCAGTACAGCCACCGTCTTCTCCTGACTATTCCATGCCTCAGACATCTCCCTATATCTTCCTTCTACCTTTCCCAGCTCAGTCATGTACACTTCCCTCGCCTTCTTGTACAACGGATATTCCCCAACTACATGATCACCGATGGGCAATCGTTTCTTCCTTCGTTTTGCCAAAGGTGACCCAATAATGTTTTCCCTAGCCTAGGGGGGGTACTTCATGTGTGGAGCACGATACCACATCCTTGCTTGATATCCATGGCAGGCGTGTCGTATCGACATGCAAGTGGTCGGGATGTGGCTTTTCTTTGGAGACGCTCCTCCTTGTTTAGACCGTGCCACACCTAACGACAAACGCAGAGACAGACTGCTGTGTCTGGCACACACATTCTTGACGCACAGGCCGTCGCCGTCTTTTTCCCGTGATGACTAAGGCCCGACTCCACACAGATTCGTTTTTTGCCGCCGGGTGCCGTTCGTAGTCCAAGTACGCTTATTGTTCGGACGAACTACATCGTCTTCGGTGCATGCCTCACCATATCATGCTCTTGGGGTCCCGCTGGTGTTCTGTTTTCGCTAATTGTTCCCGTAGTTGTTGACGGCCGGTTTTCTTGTTGTTTCACCGGACTCCCTCTTGCAGATGGGAGCAGGCGCTGAGCCTCTTGATGGGCATCAAGACTCGAGGCCTTTCGCCGGACGTCTTCAGTTTCTCGAGTGCGATGTCCGCTTGCGATCGGGCCGGCGAGTGGCAGGTGAATCACACTACATTGTGCGCGATGTCTCAAGACCGGACTGGCAAAGCAATGCATCACAGCTCTCTTGATCTTGTTGCCCTTCGTATGTCATGTTTTGCTCGGGAGTCGGCGGGTTGTTTCCGGCGACTTCTTTGCGAACATTTTCTCAGCTGGGGTTCCCCTTCGACGCGGGAGATCTTTAGACGTAAACCCGATATCTAACGACACGGCAGGGTTTGTTCTCAAGTGTTGGCGGAGCACTGTCTGTGCTGGGTTGGATGACCATTTTCGCTTCTGCTGAGTTACTATTTGGTACATCTGCCATGCTATTCTCCAGCGCTGTCGAAAAGTCGGGAGTTTTTACTTTGTGGACCACCGTATCTACTGGTGCTGGTGCTGGCGTCTTCCTGCGGCATCTCATTTTCAGCCAGTCGAGGTTATGTTTTACGCGGTTGACGACTCGCGGAAGTGCCTACATTCCCTGCCCAAAACAAGGACCAAACCTTGCAGACGTTAAGTTAAACCCACTCATATGTATCATTCAAATCGCCAACCTCCCATGGGCAACTTTGTGTGCGCTTTTGCGGGTGTGGATGGTTCCTTCTGGGCGAACTACCAGCGCGCGTTGGAGGTAATGGACCTGATGCTCCATCACGAGGTGGAGCCCAGCATCGTCAGCTACGGAACGGCCATCAGTGCTTGCGCTAGAGGAGGTGGGTATTGTACGCAATTCGTTTTTGGGGGCTTTTTGTTGTACATTGAAAACACGCCACCGCCATATTTTCAACGACGTAGCTTGCACAGTCAGCATTCGACCTATTTATTAGCGATATTCTTTCCTCCCCTGACTCCTCCTCCTTCGCCTGCGGCCGGGATACCCACCAATCCCTCCCTGCCCCCCCCCCCTGCCCGTCCCTCCCTCCACGCGCACACTGCTGCACCTCTCCATACAACCAAACCGAGAGAAGGGCGTTGGCAGCAAGCGCTGTCTCTTTTGGCCGACATACCGTCCAGGGGTCTCGAGGCGAATGCCCACGCGTACGGCTCGGCGATTCACGCCTGCGTCGTCGGGGGCCAGCACCGGCGGGCTCTGGAGCTGCTTGAGGAGATGCTGGAGCGCCGCGTCGTCCCGGACGCGGCCGTGTTTACGGCGGCGATGACGGCGGTGGACGGGTGGGGTGCGACGTTGCGGCTGCTGGAGGTTATGAAGCGAGAGGTGGGGCTTTGGCTACTGTTGATGTACGGCAGTTGGGCGTGGGGGGGGGGCGGGGTAGGTGAGCCAGCACTTTGGGTAGGCGCTCCAAGATGTCGCATCCGTGCTGGTGTCGCCCGATTGTTTCCGGTTTCCTTTTCAGTGAATTTTTTTTTACTGTGGGTGCTGTTGTGGACCCCAATCGCCCTAAGATGTGCTAGGTTCATTTACACAATACTAGTAAGCTGTTGAACCCCGACTGCCGACTGCTCATTGCCCCCTGGAACTTTGCATGTGCTTCGCCGCTGGTGTTCCAGGGTGTGCTCCCGGATGTCAATACGTACAACGCGGCCCTCAGCGTTGTCGCCCGCAGCGGCCGAGAGGATGTGGCTCTGGCGCTGCTTAACCGAATGAGGATCGATGGTGAGGCTTGGACCCAAGTTCAGTGCTGGCGAATAAAGGAAATTCGTGAGAGTAGATCGCCGTTTTCCCTGACGTAATAGGTGAGAGTTAAAGGCAACCCGATTTTTGCTCTCCGAGAAGGGTAGAACGGTACGTGGGAACAATGCGCCACCGTTTTCGTGCCTGTCCCCTCACCACGCACAAACGCCGCCCAAGTCCTACCGTAGGTGGCCGCTTCAATAACGCATCTCCTGGGTTGATTTTTCAAAGCTCGATTCCTCCACTGGAGAAAGAGTGGCGTTGCTGGAAATGGTGGCGTTGGAACCGTTTCGTCGAGAGCTTTCCGAAAACTTATCGTTTTGCTCAACATCCTCTTGGTCGTGGAGTAATCGAGCTATGACAGTCGGGTCCATGGGGTATATAATCTTATGTCACCTGCGGCGTCCACGTTTTGCCGTTGGCCCTACCTGGGAGTGGAATTCGGGCGTCATGTGGCCATAGCAGCACATCGCCGTTGCCTCCCCGCACCAAAAACGAAGGGGATTTAAGATTGCGATCAAAGTGCGCGTGTAGGGAATCCAGGGACGGGACCAGGCCGAGTTCCGCTTATCGCATGCCCCCCGAGCAACAGGTCATGCCGGTCCCGACAATTTTGTCACGCCCCCCCCCCCCTGTTCGCAAAATTTGAATAGGTTGGCGTCGAGTGGCACCGACGCTGTAAAACAAGCCACCAGCCCCTAGACATGAAATAATTGCACTAACCAAATTTTTATTTTCCCATACCGTAACACAAACCCGCCAAGCCAGACATGAAAGAGCTGAACTAACCGATCTTTTATTTTCCCATACTGTAACACAAACCTGACAAGCCAGACATGGAAAAACTGAACTAACCGACTTTTTATTTCCCATACTGTAACACAAACCTGAAAAGCCAGACATGGAAAAACTGAACTAACAGACTTTTTATTTCCCATACTGTAACACAAACCTGGCAAGCCAGACATGGAAAAACTGAACTAACCGACTTTTTATTTTCCATTCTGTAACACAAACCTGACAAGCCAGATATGAAATAATTGACCTAACCGACTTTTTATTTCTCATAACGTAACACAAACATGACAAGCCAGATATGAAATAATTGAATCCAACGAAATACATTTCCAGACGCTTGACCATTTTTGTTTTTATTATTATTTTTTTTATTATTTTTTTTCTTCCACAGTTGAAAACGCAAAAGTAAGCAAGAGTAGAAGGTTATTGGCCACCTTACATACATACCAACACGAAAACGGAAACGAAGCATAAATATAGACACAGCAATCCTTTTGGTCAAATGTGCGATGCACATGAAGGTTGGGGACTCGTGGTGAGATAACCGTAAAACAATACCGGTTCCCATTGGGCGGTGGGAATCTGGTCAGGCACTATCCTAAATTCTCCGCAAGGAGAGGGGTGGATAATGCAAGACAAAATGTCAGACCTAACATACTCAAGAACCTTGTTTTCAATTGACCGACCAAATGACCCAAAAGAGAAGGAGCACCAAGCGGTACGTAGATATCTTGAAGCTTGAAGGATAGACGCCGGTACAAAGTGTGGGGGGATTGTTGGTCAAGCTTTCGGCAGCGAAGGTCTACTCGGGAGCGTTAGTGGGGTAGCTACCCATGGTGTACCGTACAAACGTTGATGACCGTAACTCATTTATCAACCCTGGGTCGACTTAGACCGCCATCAGGGAAGATAGTGCTCTCTGGCGTCT